CCCAATCCTCTTCTGCTTGTTGTATGTTGAGCGCTGATGACACAACTCATCCTGCTTTGTGATTGGTCAGGGAGCTGCTGGTGCTGATTTGTATTAAAGGTGCATATTCCAGGTCTTCCTACTTACTGCCTGGAGCAGCCGTGTATACGCGTCCCTCGTGATCCACAATGAATGAAGGTAGGGGGTGGCGGCCCTGGAACCTGCACCTGCGTTCTGATGCTGGCGATCACACTGCGGGGGGATGGGGGTCAGTGTCTGACTGCATGGCACCTCTATGCCCCCTCCCGCCACATTACGCAGCCTGGATTGATGGCATCCAATGGGTTCCGGGCTAGAACCGTGCCGGAAGGCGCTGGATATGGTGTGACTGGGCCCTGACCGGTCCCCTATAAAGCAGAACTCCTGCAGCATGGTCGTATCGATGGCCGGGGGTTTTATCACACTAATCGCTATACACAGAAGGCCCCGGGATCAGTCATTCTGTATTACTCCAGGAGGTGGCAGCCCTGTGCACCCCCAATCATGTCCTATAGCGCTCAATGTCCTCTGCATTACCTGTGTGTCACCCTGCAGAGCTATCCATATTCTGCAGGACGCAGGGTTGTCACCATCACTCCAATCCATACACAAGTCTCCTTTATTTGGTCATATTTTATGAGTGAAGTGTAAGTAATTACTATCTGTTGTGTCCCTGCCGGTCACAGAAATGATTCTCGGGTCAGGGCCTTATCCCGGTATTGGGGGCTTTATCCTCGTATTAGAGCTCTGTCCTCATGTCAGAGCTCTGTCCTCATGACGGGGCTCTGTCCTCATGTCGGGGCTTTATCTTTTGTGTCAGGGCTTTGTCCTTGTATTAGAGCTATACCCTTGTGTCGGGGTTGTGTCCTTGTATTAGAGCTTTACCCTCGTGTCAGGGCTTTGTCCTAGTATTAGAGCTTTACCCCTGTGTCAGGGCTTTGTCCTATTATTAGAGCTTTACCCTCGTGTCAGGGCTTTGTCCTAGTATTATAGCTTTACCCCTGTGTCAGGGCTTTGTCCTAGTATTATAGCTTTACCCCTGTGTCAGGGCTTTGTCCTAGTATTAGAGCTTTACCCTAGTGTCAGGGCTTTGTCCTAGTATTAGAGCTTTACCCTAGTGTCAGGGCTTTGTCCTAGTATTAGAGCTTTACCCTCGTGTCAGGGCTTTGTCCTAGTATTAGAGCTTTACCCTAGTGTCAGGGCTTTGTCCTAGTATTAGAGCTTTACCCTCGTGTCAGGGCTTTGTCCTAGTATTAGAGCTTTACCCCTGTGTCAGGGC